CTAGGCAACACACTAAACAGTAATGAAAACTGATGAGTTAAAAAAAAAAAAAGTGTATAGAGCCAGTAAGATAGCTCAGTGGGTAAAGGTGCCTGAGTTTGATTCCAAGATCCACATGGTAGGAGAAAACCAACTCCCACACGTTGTCTTCTGACCTGTAAACAGATGCATCATGGTATGTACACACTCACACACGATACATGTGTAATTTTCATATCTGCCACCATAGATATGTCCTCATACAATTTATAATTCCAATTATGTGGCACTCCATTCAGAGAACGTTAAAATCATCAAACCGTTTCCTAGTTTACAATCACTAATTTAAAAAAATCTAACATACATATCTAAGTAATAAAATAAAATAGTTGGGTTTTTGTTTGTGGGTTTTTTTTTGTTTTTTTTTTTTTTGGTACTCCCTAAGGACAGGGACTGGAGATGGTTCCATGGTTAAGAACACTGACTGCTCTTTCAGAGGACCTGGGTTTGATTCCCAGCACCCAGATGGAAAATCCGACACCTTCTGAACTCTGAAGGCATTGCACAACATGGATGTACTTACATACATGCAGGCAATACACTCATACACATAAAAATAATAAATTAAAAAGGGCAACATGAAACTGGTGGGATATTTGATAGCACATTTGAGAGCCTAATGCATCAGCATCTGGTTTGATGGCAGCAGTTGCAGTTCTCCATCCTCAAGGTGCTCACGGGGTATTTTGGTTCTAGCTTTGCTCTAGGTGTTCTTCATTCTTGAAAGCGGTTGTTTGTAAATGTGGATGCTGCCAAAAATAATGATAGGAATAAGGCATGATTGTGAGGGAAGGGCATTTGTCTCTGGGAAGATAGAATCTGTAAAAGTCTAGTTAAAAGGACATGGCTGTATTTTTCAAGTTGAATGTCAGATTGCAGCTCTGTGCATTCCATTTGAAAACTGACAGGTAACATTTTTATTTTGACTGAAAATGGAGTCAAAAATATAACAAAATATTAAGTCTTTTCAAATTCGTGTGTCAGATAGAAAAACAAGGCCGTGTATTTTTCCCAGTTCACAGGACTGTTTTGACAGCAGTCAAAAAGCATAATATTGTCTGTTATAATTTGTTTCATTTGGAAGAATGGTTAATGTTTCAAACGTTGTTGTTTTGTTTTTTGCTTTTGTCTTTTTGAGACAGTGTCTCTCTGTAACTCACTATGTGTACCAGGTTAGCCTCAAACTCAAAGAGATCCACCTGCCTCTGACTCCCAAGAGCTGGGATTAAAGGTGTGTGCCACCTTTGACTGAAGCCAGCTTAGTGTCTTTTAATGGTACCAAAGAAGCCATTTCTTCAGTCACATTATATTTCTCATCAACACCTCTGATAAAGATGGCAAGTAGAGCTGCATTTGTAGCGTCAGTGCCGTCATCTATTGCTGAAGCATAAACTTTAAAACCAGCAGCTTTTCTTTCCTGGCTTTTGATAGATTTTCCCATTTCTTCGTTCATTTGGGTACTATCTGGTGAGACAAACTTATTTTAGACATAGTCCCCTTTTCAGGAGTTCTATGTTTGTCACATTCTCTGTGTGTTGCTTAGTAGACTCCCCAGTAAATTGCTCTGACTTTTTTTTTTTAAGTATATTACCATGTAACTAATTAGCTTTTACAATAGAATCTGAGATATAAACTTTTAAAACATGTTTATTCTATTAATGTGTATGTATGAGAGAGAGAGACAGAGACAGAGAGACAGAGAGAGATGAGACAGCGCCCAGTCTGGAGGTGTGCACATGCTCAGAGGACAGCCTTCAGGAATTGGTTCTCTTCTACTGTGGATTCCTGGGGTGAAACTCGGGTCACCAGGCTTGCATGACAAGCGCTTTTACTGGCCGAGCCAGGTCTCCAGCTCTTAAGTTATAACATTTTTTGAGAAAGCAGACTTCCTTCAGTGCTACTATTTTTGTCCTTATGGCACAATTTTGATATGCATGGAATTTGTCAGCATATTTTTGCATAGAATTATAGTTGTCGAAAACTTACACAAATTCCTTACAAATTAAGTGCCTCAACAAAAAAGTAATCATCTGTTCTTTTTTTATTGAACAATCTTACTTTACCCATAATCTTTCTTTTTTAAAATAATTTTTTAATATTTTTATTTTTCAAAGTAACAGGAGTTGTATACAAATGACAGTAGACCCTTGCCTCTATTTTTATTTAAATAAAAGATGAATTCTCAAGGGAAAAAAAAGCTATATACATAAGGGACTATATCTTCCTTCATCATCTACTTGGAGCCAGTAGTTGTGTTGCTGTCATAGAATCAGGAAAGAGATTGTGATAAGTTAATCTTTATTTCTCAAGTTGTTTCTGGGGTTTTTTGGGGGGGAGGTGTTGAGATGGGGTCTCCATGTAGCCCCAGCTGGCCTGGAACTCGTTTGTATAGACCAGGCTGGCCTTGATAGAGATCTGCCTAACTGCTTCCTGGGATTAAAGGTATGCACCATCATGCCTGACTTTTGTTTTAGATATTGTAGAAGCCATGCTGGAATTTAAAAAATAATAAAGAAGTCTATTTATTTTCATTATGAAAATTAATTGACAGAAAAATACAAAGCAAGTTTAGGACCCTTCCACATCTCAGCTATTGATGCAGCATGGAGTGGAGGGCCCGTTATAAAGTGCAGTGGGTGATGCATGAGGAACACCTGAAGTGTAGAAATGGCCTTAACTACCAGGCAGACAGGACGACTCCTAGGCTAGCCAGATCAGTGAGTTCAGTTCAGTGAGAGAACATATCTCAAAAAAATAAGGTAGAGAATGATTGAGGAAGACACCTCTGGCCTCCTTGTGAACCTGTGCACATGTAACTACATATATACCACACAGAAATATTCTTTTCCTACTCAATTATCCTGTCACCCGAGCTAAAACAATTTGGTGATAATGTGAGGTTGTCTAGCCTTATTCTAGTACTACACTGTCTTGATTATTTACCTTTGTAGTTCATTTTTCTTTGGCTAGGGATAGGACTGGGGATTGAATCTGGTACAGGAAAGAGTCCTACCACTGAGCTATATCTTCAGCTCTCTCTTTCTTTTTTTTTTTTTTTTTTTTGATCTTTTGAGACAGGATCTCCCTGTAGCTCCAGCTAGCCTGGAACTTACTATGTAGACCTCAAACTCACAGAGATCTGCCTGCCTCTGCTTCCTGAGTGCTGGGATAAAAGGAACACACCACCACACCCAGCATTTTTTTTACTTACTTTGAGACAGGATCTCACCAGGCTACCCAGACTGACTTTGAACTCACTGTTTCCCAGGCAGGCCTTAAATTCGCAATTTTCTTGCCTCAGCCTTCCAAGTAGCTAGGATTACAGGCCTGGACCCCTAGATCTTGCTTGTAGTAAGTTTTAAAATTTGAAATATTGAGCCAGGGGTGGCACACACCTTTAATCCCAGGAGAGGCAGGCAGAGCTCTGTGAGTTCAAGGCCAGCCTGGCCTACATAGTGAGTTCCAGGCCAGCTGGGGCTACAAGAAGACTCCTCCCCACCAAATTCAAAGTGTTGTTCCTTTGTTGTTTCTTCTCAAGATTGTTTTGCTTTTCCTCTCTGTCTCTGTGTCTCTGTCTCTGTCTCTGTCTCTGTCTTTCTCTCTCTCTCTCTGTCCCTCCCCTTCCCCCTTTCTCCCCTCTTCCTCGCTTACTCTTGCTCTCTCACTCTCCATGCTGAGACTCAAATCCAGTACCTTGTACATGCCATGTAAGGTTTCTCTGCGTATAAAACATGTCCATGAAAGTGGTAATTTGAAGTCCCCTATTCAAATTGCCTTGTTTTATTGTGGCACTCTTGTCTCTTTCCTGATTTTAGAGGAAAGAATTTCAATTTTTTAACCTCATTCAGGGTGATGTAAGTTTGTGTGTTTGTCATATACAGATGCTTGTTACTATGTTGAGATACACTATTTCAGTAACTAATTTTTGAGGCTATTTACCAAGAAGAGATACTTAATTTCATCAAATGTGTTTGCTACATCTGTTGAGATCATACAGTTTTTATTCTTCATTCTGTTGAATATTATGTTGCGTGCATTGATTTATGTTATATTGAACCATCCATTCTTTTCTAGGGTAATCCCACTTGATTATGGTGTATAATAGTGCAGTGTTCTGTTGAAGTTAATATACTAGTGTATTGTTGAGAATTTTTGGGTCTGTGCTCATCAGGGCTATTGGTCAGTACATTCGCAGACTATCAGAATTTTTACTAAGTTTTAATAGATTCTTTTGAACAAATATTTGCTGTGTGTGCCCTTGGGATGTTTCTAGAGATTTTAATTTAAAACATTCTTCTTGAGACCTGGTCCATTGGATCTATCACACTACTGTGTAAGACACAAAACTCTTGTCACAACTTTAAAACACTTTAACTATTCTTGCTGGGGATGTAGCTCAGTAGAGTGCTTAACTAGTATGCTTAAAACCCTGAGTATACCCCAAGCACCACATAACCTGGGTGTGGTGGCACACACCTGTGATCCCAGCACTTGGGAGGTGGAGGAAGACGATAAGGGGTTCAAGGTTGTTCTTAGCTACATAGCAAGTTTGAGGCCAGTCTGGAGTACAAGAAACTCAGTCTAAAACAATACAAAAGCTGCTTATCATTCTCTTCTTTTATTGCATGTCCTCTTAAGTTCTAAGTTTAATAATGCTGCATAGTCTTAATTTAGTCTTGACAGGTGTTTTCATTTATTGAAAGTATTAAGGTATCAGTTTTTAGAAATGGAGATCATAGCCTTTTAAAGTGTAAGATTTATTTCTACATGACCATTTTTTTTTCTTTTCAAGAAAGGGTCTCCCTGTAGCCCCAACTGGCCTAAAACTTGCTGTGTAGACTAGGCTGGCCTTGAACTCACAGAGATTGGCCTGTGCCACCATACTGGGCTCTGAATTCTTATTTATATCACAGCCCCTAATTTGGATGACTTCAGATTAATTGGGGTTCTGTTTTTAACAGAGAAAAGTGACATTCAAGGATGTGGCTGTGGACCTCACCCAGGAGGAATGGCAGCAAATGAAACCTGCTCAGAGGCGCTTGTACCGGGACGTGATGCTGGAGACCTATAGCAACCTAGTTACAGTGGGTAAGGGTAGCATTGCAATTAGTATAGAATTCCTTTCCAGTCCTGCAGTGTGTGGAGACTCTAGTTTGCTGGATGAGCCTAGCCTTCCCTTCATAACTGCATGTGCTCCAGTCTTCAGAGTAGATATGATACTTGGTGTCATTGTGGAGTTCCTTTATCCTCATCCTTCATAAGCCCTGCTGACCCCGGGACTCAGCTCCATATGATCATCTCCAGCATCATTAACCTGCAAGTTCTTTGCTGTTTCCTGTAACAGGGTGTGAAGTCACCAAACCAGATGTGATCTTCAAGTTAGAACAAGAAGAGGAGCCGTGGGTGCTGGAGGAAGAAATGTTTTGGCGGGACTCTCCAGGTGAATAAGTGAAAAGCAGCCTGAGTGAGAAAGCATGTGGCAGCTGGTCAGTGAGGGTTGCTGCCGTTTCAGTTCTAAGACTGCCTTAAGGCCTAGTCTTCTAGAGTGACAAATAGTGTGAATACCTGAGATTTCTGTGACTTTCCAGGTATTACTCTGCCCTATTGAAGTTACATTCCTTCTTCAGATTTTAGAGGGTCAGTAACCCTGTCTGATTTCAGGATGCCCACCTTCCCTAATGCCTTCACAACTTACTTTCAGGATCATTGTCCCTCCCTCCCTTTCAGCCTTCTTCTCTCAAGTTCATGGTTTTATTTTCTTACACATTCAGTTTCTCATGGAGTGTAGTATTTCAAAATCAGGTTTATTTCATACTTGGAGTCCTTTAATTTCTTTGCTTCCCTCCATTTTGAAAAGCTTTAGCCTGTGTTATAACAAATCACACTTTGCACTGTACTTCATAACCCTCACAGTTCCACAGCCTACAATTTAAGTTTCTGTCTTAGAAATCCTGTGGTGTCTCCTTCCTGCTTATTCACATCTTCATTTCTTCAATATTTTGAAAACATTGCATATGCTTGGTTAAAAATGCAGATTCTCTGGGACTGGAAAGATGGCTCAGCAGTTAAGAGTACTGGCTGTTCTTACAAAAGACCCGGGTTCAAATCCCAGCACCCACACGGCAGCTAACAACCATCCATAACTCCAGTTCCAGGAAATCCAACACCATCTTCTGACCTCTGTGGGCACTGCACGACATGGGTGCACTTAACAAATGCAGGCTATATCCTCATACACACAAAATAAAAATAATAAATAATTAAAAATTTTTAATTCAGATTATTCAAAAGATACATTAACAAATTAAGTATCCTTTTATCCTCCACACTTTGTCCACATTAACAAATTAAGTATCCTTTTATCCTCCACACTTTGTCCACATTAACAAATTAAGTATCCTTTTATCCTCCACACTTTGTCCACATTAACAAATTAAGTATCCTTTTATCCTCCACACTTTGTCCACATTAACAAATTAAGTATCCTTTTATCCTCCACACTTTGTCCACATTAACAAATTAAGTATCCTTTTATCCTCCACACTTTGTCCACATTAACAAATTAAGTATCCTTTTATCCTCCACACTTTGTCCACATTAACAAATTAAGTATCCTTTTATCCTCCACACTTTGTCCACATTAACAAATTAAGTATCCTTTTATCCTCCACACTTTGTCCTCTTCACTTCTTTTTTTCCATAGTTCCCTTGGCTATTTTTTTTCCCCCTTTTCTTTTAGAGACAGGTCTCTCTGTAGCCCCAGGTAGCCTGGAGCTCGATATGTAGACCAGACTGGCCTCAATCTTAGAGATATGCTTACCTCTGTCTCCAGAGTGCTGAGATTACAGGTGTACACCACCACACCTAGGGTGTTCTTATTTATTTTGCCATATGCATTTTAGATTTAACTGTCTTATTTGGAGAAAAACCTATAGAATTTTTATTAGGGCTATGCTGGATATATGCATTAACTTTCAGAAGTTTGCCATGAGATGGCAAAATTTTTAGTGAGATGGTTTTCTAAGAACACGCTTCGTATCTGCCTGTTTTCATATCTTTCAGAAATGGAGCTTTCCAAGTTTTCTTTTGTAGCTTTTGTGTATTGTTAAATTTACCTACATATTAGAAAAGAGAGAAAGCAAGTTCTTTAAGAGTTGGAAACAAGGGGCTAAAGAGATGTCTCAGAAGTTAAGAGTACTTGCTACTCTTTCAGAGGACCCAGGTTCAGTTCTCAGCACCCACATGGTGGCTAAGAACTGTCCTTAACTCCAGTTCCAGGGGATTTGACACCTTCTCTTGACTCCTTGGGCACTGCATGCACATGATGCACTTACTTACATGCAGGCAAAGCACTCACACTTAAAATAATTGGGCAGGAACTATACAGTCATCTGTATTTGCAGATGATAGGATTGTATCCCTAGATACAGCTAGGTCCCTAGGACCAACTGAGAAAGTTCAACAAATGGTAAACAAGACCAGGAAGGCGGTAGAATATCAAACTAACACATAAAAGTCAGTAGCTTTCACGAATATTTCACAGCCAAGAAGAAGATAAAAGAAGGCATATTTATAGTAATAACTATAAGGATAAAACACTGTGCAAAGCATGGGCATGTAACAATACACAAAAAATAAAATTTGCCTCTATGGAGCTTATAATTTAGGGGTTTTGTTTATTTGTTTGGAAGGATGCACTTTTGTTGTTGTTTGTTTGTGTGCTTGCTCATTTGAAGACAGGGTCTTTAGAGAACCCCAGGCCATGCTTAAACTCCCATGAACTTCTGATCCTTCTGTCTCCACCTCCCAAGTGCTGGGGATCAAACATAGGGCTTTGTGCATGCTGAGCAAGCACTCTACCAACTGAGCTACAGCTCAAGCCCATAATTTATCTTTTGGGAGCTAGAGAGATGGCTTAGCAGTTAAGAGCACTGGCTGCTCTTATAATGGACCCATGTACAGTTCCCAGTACCCATATCAGGTGGCTTACAACTGCCTATAACTGCAGTTCCAGGAGATCTAATGACCCTTCCTGGCTTCCACAAACACATGCACTCATTTGCACGTACATATATTCAAATGTACACACATAAAATAATAAAATACCTTCTGAAATGTTTACATTTGATACGGATTGGCTGTAGTTAAAATTCTTAAGCCACACTTTATTTTCCAAAGGCTTATCGTGAATAGTTCCTGGAGTTTTAGACAGTTCTCTATTTTCCACTTTCAAGTATTATTTGGAAAAGAAGTCTGATTATTTCTCTTCATAAATCACTTAATTTGTCTATACAAATAAATTAAGGGCTTGCAGAGTTGAGAAATTTTGTTCCGTTTTGCTTTGTTTTATTGTATTTTCTTTGAAGTTAATTAGAAGTATTGCTCAACTGTGATCAGTTTTTCCTTTCAATTTGCAGATTCTTTTCTTCACTATCATATTCTTTGTTTCCAGAATCAGAAATCAAACCTATGTGCTTGCTTTCTTTTTTTTTAAATTTTATTTATTATTTTTATTTTATATGTATGTATGTATTGCCTGCATGTAGGTAAGTGCACCCGTGTTGTGCAATGCCTTCAGAGGTCAGAAGAGGCTGTCGGATCCCCTGGGACTGGAGTTATGGACAGTTGTTAGCTGCCATGTGGGTGCTGAGATTTGAAGCTAGGTCTTCTGCAAGAACAGTCAGTGTTCTTAACCACTGAGCCATGTCTCCAAGCCCCACCTATGTGCTTTCTAAGCAAGTGTTCCACTACTGAGCAACTCCCTAGTCCAAAGACTCATGTCTTTTGCTTTTTATACTGCCATATAGATTTGATATAGTTCTTTTCTTAATTATCATCTTTAAATGAAGGTACTTTCTCCTGGACTCACTATTTTTTTTTTAAATGCTCTGAGCTAGTAGAGAACCTTAGTACCTTACACTGACCGTGTCATCCAGGTTGTGTTCAGATTTGGCTTATCTGGGCCCAAGTTGAGATTATGGATTATCATTTGCATGCTTCCTTTAGCATTGTTTCTCCTCCACCCTCCTACTGGTAATCTCTTCTACCACAGTAAGGGTTATTTGCATCTGCTTGCTCAGCTGTGCTTTCCCTGACATTTGTCAGGACCAGGTCTGTTAGGTCTGTGCGACCAGTGTCAACAACACATGTGCATTCGTTTTTACAAGATTCTGTTCCCAATATTTCCTGTCTAAGAGAAGAAACAAGTCTTTCCCTCTGGGTTTCTTCTCTACCTTGACCAATCCATTCTCTTTTCTTTCCTTATATTCTGGAATTGGAGTTTAGCTGCCTTTTAGTTTCATTGAAAATGTATTTTCTGTTCTTCATATTTGCAAGCTAGAGAGGAGACGTATTTAACTCCATCCTATTAAAACAGGAAGTCTTCTGCTATACTGACCCTAGGAATCTGCTTTCTTGGAAATCGCTTTCTTCTTTGCTCTTTCCAGAGGATTCTGATTTTTCTTTCATTCTTGCTCATTTATTACTATTATTTCTTCTTCCTCCTCCTCCTCATCCTCCTCCTCTTCTTTCTTCTTTCTTCTTTTCTTCTTTTTGAGACAGGGTTGATATGTCGACCAGGCTGGACTTGAACTCAGAGATCCACCTGCCTCTGCCTCTGCCTCCCAAGTGCTGGGATTAAGGGCATGCGCCACCACACCCAGCTTTGCATAATTTCCTTTTTCCTTTTATATAATTTCGTTTTTATTTTTTGTGTGTGCATGAGAATGCATGCACACATACATGTTCTTATGAGTGCACATGAGTATGGAGGACAGAGGACAGTGTTAGAGGTCGTCCTCAGAAATGCCATTCACCTCCTTTGAGACAGTCTTGTTGGCCTGGAACTCACCAATTAGACTAGGCTGGCTGACCAGCGAGCCTGAGAGATCCTCCTGTTTCCTCCTTCCCAGCTCTGGGATCACAAATGTGTGTCAAGAGGCCTGGCATTTTCACACGAGTGTTAGGGATTGAACTAGGGTCCCCATGCTTTACTGACTGTGCTATCTTCCCAGCCCAGTTTTTCTTTTTTAGTGTGAATTTTTAGTTTTCCTCAAAGTAATACATGCACTTGTTTTTGAAAGTCAATAGAAATACAAACCTTGTAATGGTACCCTATTCTAACCTCTTATTACCCCTCTTTTAGGGAGCTATATGCAGCTTATTTCTTTTGCTATTAGGTCTACAAAGTGAGCATGGTTCCAGGCCAGCCAGGCCTACATAGTGATATCCTATCTTGAAACAAACAAATAAATAAATAGTAAACTTAGTTTTTAAAAATCTGTTCTAGGTTTACAGCAAAACTGAGTAGAAAGTATAGTTCCCAGGCTCCTCCACAATCAGTATCTTGTACCACAGCTGTATATTTGTTACCACCAATGAATAGACATTCACACATCACTACTGCCCAGAGTTCATAATTTACCTTAGCATTCACTCTTG